CCTGCCAAGCCCAAGCCCACTGCAGATGGTGTGGCACGGTGCTGGGGGAACACTCCGAGCAGGGATGCCCACAGCTGGTCAGCCTGCTGGGTGCTGCTTCGGTAGAAATACTGAAATAATCCTTTTTTCTGTGTTTTGGCCTGGGGTTTGCTCTCCTGGCAGAGCTCACCCCGCTGTGCTGATGAAGGGTGCTTGGGTGCAGCCAGGAGAGAAGCCTGAAAATGCCTTGATGAGCATCCATCCCCAGAATTCCATTAATAACATCTCTAGCGGTTTTGTCAGCATCATGAAGCACTGAGCCTGAGATGGAGAAGGCCAGGCTCTGGGCTGGTGTGTCTTAGGTGCACAGAGATGGCCTATACACACTCACACACACAGGTATCACCTAACTATAATATCTAACTATTACCTCATGGGGATACACCCAGCCTGAAAATTATCTGTCCCCCAGGTCCTCCCACAGGCACACCTCCCAGAATCAGGTTGGTGGTCCCAAGACTCCACATCTTCTTTCCATGCTTGGACCTTTTTCAAGGATTCTGGTCCTTCTCTGATAGTTTAGACTCTCTTATATCAAGCGATGTACCTGTTGTGTCTCAATCAAAGAACATTTTATACAGATAAAATGTTCGCTGCAGTCTTTGTCCATTGGAATTCTTGACAAGAAATATTAAACAACATTTCAGGAATCTAATACAAAGGTACTTAGCTCAAGTGCTGCTAAAAGAGTTATACTAAAATCTACATAACCTAGATATTGAGGCATCAGCTGAGCAGTGCCCGGAAACTGGGAATGGGAACAATGAGTGACCTTTCTGAGCTGAGCCAGTTCTGAGCAACACAACCTGGGTTGAGTTTTTAGGTGTAAGAGCCATGAAGATGTGTTTAGACAGCGTGATACCCAGCAGTGAGGCTTCCTTGCCTATTTTATCATTCCATCAGCATGTTCTTGACTGATTATGAAGGGATTCCTTGCAAGTTAACAAGCTGAAACCAATTATGTTGTTGAAGAGGGCCAAATCAAACTCTACCGAACAAATACAGCTTGGATGTCTGGCTGATAAGTTTTTCAGCTGTTCAAACACGTTATGTGATACGAATGAAGCTGCAGTTGAATTAGACCTAGCTGTTCATGTTGAATTCACAAGCTGCAATTTTTTTCACGCAGCTTCGTTTGAGGCAGCCAGATTCTTTTGGGAGGAAATGACAGTTTTGCACAGTTTAGCTGTACAAAAGTGATTAATGAAAATAGTATTTACTGGTTGCATTTTAGGAAGGAATTGAATCAGAAGCACACTCTGAAATGCAGAAGGGCTGATACTCCCATGCCTCCCCCCTTATCACCACTGCACAAAACACTTGTTTTGTGTCGTGCTTTGTAAAGCTGTGCCCTGCCAGGGGAGCCCAGGGCAGAGCTGGTGGGAGCCCCAGGACCATCACCTGCTGTCATCAGTACCTGCAGTGGCTCTACTGACTTTGATTTATTCCCAGTTAGTTTGGTATGAAATAGTATCAGAACCAAGGTCATGACTGATATGGGACTGAGCTTAAAAGTAATCCTTTGGCTGACACACAGATTTATGTAATCAAGGATGGGGCAGGTCCACATTTTTCCAGCAAATTGGTGTTTAACAAGCTCCTCTGAATGCTCGAGACCCAAAGCTTGTGATGGCAAGGAACATTTACACAGACCCTATATCTAAACCATTTGTGGCATTATTATCAGTCAAATCCATTGCTATGGATTCCCTTCTCTTCCCTTTTAACCTGATAAATTCAGATGTGGCATTACCAAAAACCACAGACTGCCAAAATAAAAGAGGGAACTGATATTTGGAGCATTTTGATGATTTCTTACGCTGTAGAAGGAGTTTCTTAAATTTAAACCGAAGTCACAAGCGCAGATTTTCTCCCTTGAGAACAAATCCTTCCAGTTCATCTGGCACTCGCCAGGATAATCTACAGTTCACAGTCTGTCTGAAAAATAGAGCCCAGGAGAGCAGAGGACACAGTTGCCCAGCTCCATCTGAGGAGATTTGCTGCCATCTTTTGGTAGATGCACATTCCAGAAAGCAATGAAAAATTTATCTGTGCACAGATACGAAACATTTTCTCCCTCTGCTCATTCTTAGCCTCCCTGCAGCATCCACCCCTGGAGGGATTTAAGAGATGGGGACATGGTTTAGTGGTGGACTTGGCAGGGCTGGGTTAACAGCTGGACTTGATGATATCCGAGGTTTTTTCCAAAATGGATATTTGCAATGAAACGGTGAGGGCTCAGCTGCTGCCTCGTTACTGCTGCTGCAGGTGCCAGCAGAACGTTTCCCTGTGCCCACCTCGGAGGGGACACCTGTGAACTATCAGACCCCCCAGCTCCATCAGCACCTGCCACAGGAAGGGGCAGCACCAGGCTGGCCCCGTGGTCGTGGCTGTGATGGATCTCATGACCTGCCCCAGCCACTACATCGTGGTACAAACATCCCCTGAGACAGGGAAAAGCTGTAGGGAACAGGTGCCACCTCTGCACGTCTGCAAGCAATAAAAGAGGTTTTTATGCCTGGAGGCAATAAAAGAATATAACTGATAAGCTTGGGCAGCAGCAGCAGGACGATGTGAGGGGAGGGAGCGAGGCTGGGAGCACCCTACAAATCACACTCCTCGTGGGGAGATTGACCTTCGCTGAGGGCAAAGAGCTGGGGCTCCACTTTGGCAGGGGCAGGCTGAAGAGTTGCTGGTGGGGAGGAAAATGAGCCCTGTGGCTCAGCCAAAGGGGTGATGGGGGATGTCCTATTCCTCTCCTCACCTCTGAAGTCTTGCCAGGGCACCAGCAGCCCCCTCGCCTCCCTTGCTGCTCTGACTCCTGGATGAGGAGGTTCAATGCACCCCAGTAGAAATCTGCCCACAGTTTCTGCTGGACTAGGATTTTTCATGGGACAGTGAGTGAAGTCAGCCCAGGGCAGGCTCCAACAGGCCCCAGGATCCAGGGAAAGAGGGAAGGCACCAGCCACTGCCAGAGGGAGAACCGAGAGGCTGCCCAGAGCCAACACTTCCCCCTGATTGCAACCCCATGCTCTGCTTACGAAACCAATGCTTGTAGGGATGTCTGGATCAACAAAATAACTGTGGTTAGAAGAACTTTCCAAATCTGAAAGAGCCCTCTTGTGGATTCCTGCCCTGGTGGCAGGCTGTGCACTGTATTGTAATGTGGATTTGGTATCAGGCACAGTTCCTTCAGCCTTTGCTGCCACAGCTGCATTTCCAAGGTTGGTGTGTGGCTACACACAACCCTTTCCCCTCTACCAACCTGTCCTAATGCCAAGAAATTCCTGAGATCTCACTGAATTCCAGGAGCCGCTTCATTTATACATTTCAGTTCAGAGTTCAGTCCCTTGCAGGGTTTGTTAAGTTTGAACCCTGACCAAAGTTCACGAGTGCTGTGTGTGCTCAGTGTGTGTGAGCAGGATGACCCTGACCTTGCTCCTGGGCTGTGCTGGGGCACGCACCAGTCACCTGCTCGGGGTACAGACCTGGGATGGCTGTGGGAGCAGTGCCCTTGGGAGAGATGAAGTTGGGAAAGCAAAGGCACAAGCCAGGCAAGAGCACAAGCAGGGAAACTGCAAGAGAGAAAGAGTGGGAAAGAATTAATTTTAGAAAAAGAAAAAAAAAAAGTGAGTAAGAGTTCCTGTGAGTGGGATGTGAACTCTTAGCAATGGTTCTTTATCTAAGACAAATCTCCCCTGGGTGGTGGGGGTGGAAGGGTGACTATCCAGACCAGAAGCAGTTTCCTGGCTGGGGTGATTCTGCTGTTTATCTTGTGGGTGATGCTCTGAGCTCCTCAGGGGCCTCCAACAGTGCAGTTCTGGGTTTGTATCTCATCCTGAAAGCGGCCTGGCTTCAGCTCTGTTCCTCTCTGATAGCAGAGCGCTCCCTGCCTGGCCTTTTGACACCAGGGCAGTTTTGTTCTGGACCCAGCCCCAGCTCCCTGTGAGCTGTGAGGGCTGATTCATGTGTCTGAGAGGGAGTTAAGAAAGATGTCAACTCCCTAATTCATGGGAACATCTCCACGCCCTGCAGACAGTTCCCACTGGGGAAATTTGCTGCCTCCCTGCCCCCTGTCCCTCCAGCAGCTCCTTTGGACATGACCAGCCATCACACACAGCCTCGCCTGCTGACAGACCTTCTCTCAAACTGTCCCTTCCTGCTCTCTCACCCCTCTTGCCTCAGCACCTCGAGGAATGAATCAACAGAACCCTTCTTCTTGCTTTGCTGGGAGCAGAATTAGGTGGGATTCGGGGTGCAGTGTAGTAAGCTTGGAGAGAAAACATGAGAATTGCTCTGGAAGTTGTGTTCTTCTGCCAGTCCATCTAAACCCAGTAGGATGATATGGAATTATAAGAGTTGTTTACTAAATACGGCATGGCAATCCCTCACCTGTGTTTGCAAGCTTGACAAAGTCATCGCAGACAGAGAACCATAAATCACAAAACTGCAGAATGCCGTGAGTTGGAAGGGACCCACAAGCCCTCCACAAGGATATGGGGAATGGGAATTTCAACAAAATGGGGCGTTGGAGTTGAACTAATTCTAGCTAATTCTAATCTAACTAACCCTAACTAAATGGGGGGAGGGGGAGACGGGGTCACGGAATCGGGATCATTTGGGTTGGAAGGGACCTCTAGAGGTGATTTCATCTCGTTCCCAGCGCGGCTGGGAATCCTGGTACCCAGGGGCTGGGATCGGTGCTCCTCGGGGATGCTGCGGGGTGCGGTGTCCTGGGGGGTGCGGTGTCCTGCGGGGTGCGGTGTCCCCGTGTCCCGGCGGCTCCCGGGCCGTGCCCCGCAGGGCTCGCTGTCGCTGTCGGTGTCGGTGTCGCTGCCGCCCCGCCCGGCGCTGCCGCCCCGCCCCGCGGGTCCCGCCCGCCGTCACGCAGCAGCAGCAGCAGCAGCAGCAGCCGCAGAGCCCGGGGAGGCGCCGGGCAGGGGCAGCGGGGCCGCAGGAGGCCGAGGCGGAGCGGGAGCGCGGCGGGGCCGCGGCGGGGGCAGGTAGGGCTGCCCGGGTTGGGTTGGGTTGGGTTGGGTGGGGGGTCCCGGGCGCTGCCCGCGGTGCGGGCGGTGCGGGCGGTGCGGGAGGCGAGGCCCCGTCCCGGCTGGGGTGCGGGGGCCGGAGCGGAGCGGGACGGGGATGGTTCCTTACGTAAGGCCGGGCATGGCGGCGCGGGGATGCCCCGCGGCCCGGGGGGCAGTGCGGGGAGCGGGGAGCGGGGAGGGCTCCGGGCACGGCGTGCGGGTCCTGCCCGGCGCTCCCGGCTCCTCCCGGGCCCGCGGAGCAAAGGTCGCCCCTGGCCGCACCTGCCCGGCCGCGGCACCGTCCGACATCCCTCCCCGCCTCCTCCTCCTCCTCCTCCTCCTGCGGTCCTCCGGTGCCCGCACCCCCACGCCGAGCACCGGGACTGATTATTTTTCCATCCGTTTTATTCCGCTCGTTCCCGGAGCGTAGCTCTCCCTCCAGGTTTAAGGATCCCGAGGGCTCGGTTCTCCCCTCCCGCAGCAGCCGCTGCCTCCATTCTGCCTCGTCACAGCCCTCGCTGGGAACAACTCCTGCTGGAGAGGGGGAAAGGCTCCTCCGGGCTTTGGGTATTTGCAAATAATAATAATAATAATAATAATAATAATAATAATAATAATAATAATAATAATAAAAAGTAACAGAATTTTCTGAAAATGAAGCGGGGCTGACTCATCTTGGTGACCAAGGCAGGGTTGTGTCTCTGGGGAATATTTATAGCGATTCCAGCAGAAACAGATCCCAGCTTGTTTCTCAGATGGTTTAGCGAGGGTCAGAGGTGTGTGCTGTAGTTTGTTTTGTTGGGTGCACTGGATAGTTGAATAATCACCTGTCTCGTGACATTTCACCTATGAAATCTGGTCAAAATTCCTTCCGAAATGGGCTTTTGCACTATTAAAATGACATTCTGGAATAATCCTTTCCCCTAGCACTCTCCATCAAAAGTTGATGCTGATCCACAGCCTGCACCTCTTCTTCCTGCCCACATTTTGGGGTGAGTTTGGGGGTGTGAAGGTGTGGGGGACATCCCTGTTGGTTGCTGTAGCAGCAGGAGAATGTCCCCAGCTGTGGCAGTGTTGGGATGCAGGCAGGACACACAGCTCAGGCCCTCCTGAGTTTGGCATCTGCTGCAGGTAGGGAACAACCCCATCCACTGGTGTGGCGGATGCTCCTCTTCTGTGTGAGCTGTCAAATTGTGCTGGAAGACAAAATTCCATTTTAATTAGTCACCCCCATTGATCTGGCAGTGGGTGTTGCTGCAGTGGGGCGGGAGTGAGGGACATGTCCCTTCCTGAACGCACGGGGTGGGACAGGGCTGGGACAGGAGCACTGCTCTTCTGCAGGTATTTCACAGAGACAGCTAACTTGAATTAATTCAGCACGTAGGGTATGTGGTCCTGTGTTCTTCCCTTGCAGTTCAGTAACTACAGTAGCTACAACAGGCTGCAACATCCCCCAATTTCACTTAATTGATACTTATATGTGATAGTTTAATAAGGGGTTGCCATATAACATTGCAATTCCTAATTTATACCCAGACAATTAAGAGCAGGCTGTCTCTTTCTGTAATTCCGTAATTGGTATAGCCTAAATAATAATATTTACATTTGCTTTTAAGGGTTTTATCTCCTTCATGCTAACGTGTTTATTGGGCTGCAGACATACTGCATAAACCAAGCTTTAAATCTGCTCCTTCATGCATGAAGGTTTCCAAAGCAGAGCTGCAGCAGGAAGGCTGGGATCCTGGGAGCGTCACAGGGAGGCTGCATGGCTTTACAACACCGGCACAAAAGAAATTGTGGACTCCCAGGTCTTAACTTTTGAGTCATAATGGTGCAGGGATTATGTGACGTTGGCACAGTAGCAAGTTGGGGCAAAAAGTGTTGTTAAATACCGAGTCTCGTAACGCCGAGTATTTACAAACCACGTGCTTCTCAAAAGCCCAACTTGAGGGTTGACCTCAGCATGACTGTGCATGCATTTACGGGTGAGCGTGTGCTTAAATCTCTGCCCTGTGAGGCTGCTGAACCTGCTCTGGAGCGCGCTGTGGGCATGGCTTGGAGGGATTTGGGATGTGGATCGTAAACCCCGAACGGCGGAGCCCGCGCCGAGCTCTGCCGGCAGACGGGGATGTGGCGTGGTGGGACAGGGACACCGGGGCCGTGTGGAGCCGGTGACTCCAGCCTGCTCTGGGACGTGGGGAGAGCTGGGCCCTGTTCTGGCTGAGAGCAAAAAGCACCGTCCTTCATGGTCTGTTGATACAACAGGTTGGGGAGTGACGCTGCACAGGCTGCAGGGCCAGAAAGGCGCTTAAAAGTCGCTTCATTTCAAGGACAGATTTTTCCTTTCGTGAAGGGCATAAATGACAAATGTTCTTTACTTTTTTAATCTTGAGGTAGGAGACCCTCATGAGCATTTTTCCCCATGCAGACAGACTATACCTGGTCTTTAACCCAATGCTGTTGGTCCCTCCCAGCTGTCCCCAGCAGCTGTTACGTGTCTTCTCTGCAGGGATAATGCTGATGGAGACAGGGAGATGGATTGTTCAGAACTACTGTTACCATCGAGAAATGGAACATGAGTTCAGACTTACTGGGAAAAAACGTGGCTGCAGTAGGGTTAAATGCAACCTTTTTATTTTCTTAGCCTTGAATCTGATAGACTTCCATTGTCCTGGTGGGAATCTTATAATGGATTTTATTCTTATCCTAAATTTTTAGATTGCTCCTTTCCCCATGTAAATATCACAAAGCTGATAAGTCTGTGCAGGGAAACTTTAAGTTGGGCATGTACAAGAGTTACCAAGCAGAGATGAGCTTTCCTTTGGTTGCAGCCAGTCCTTATGTTTGCCAAGGGCACCCTGGGGGTTTGCTGCTTGTTGGACTGAATTTGATTTAATTGCCCAGAACTGCCTCATAGAGTGAAAACTTTGCCATCTGTGACACTGGAAAATATTCAAATTTGGCCTGCTGTAATGAAATCTTCCCTGGGCCTGGCTCTTGGGTCCTGCAGCTCCAAGGGGAGCTCCTGGTTTTCTCCCTGGGGCTGCTGTAAATCAGGCATTCCTGGAGGTGTGCTCACAGCAGCACTTGGAGCTGACTCCTCACTTCAGGTTTTCTTCAGTCATCGCTTGTGCTTTGGTGTTTCTTACTCAAGAAAATCAAAATATTTCCTACTTAGAGCACGTTATGGATCGTGTGCTTGGTCTGCTCTGCGGGGGAGTCGAGGTACCTCGTCACGCTGAGCTATTTGCACAGTTGGACAAGGATAAAAGCAATGAATTCATTTCAGTGCAAACCTAATCTGAGTTAATGTGCAGAGATCGCACTGGTGAAAAGCAAGGGCACTCGGCCACGGCCATTCCTTGATCCTTTAAGAGTCTGAATCCCTGCTAAGCATGCTTGTCTTACAACCTGCACTCGCACAGGATGTAATCAGTTTTGTTTCCCATCTGTTAAACAAGAGGCTCCTGATTAGCCACTGCAAAGGGGAGTCATTATTTTTGTTTTGTTCTCGCTGACAACAGCCAGGTTAAGCAGCAGGTCCCCGGCTCGGGGTGTGCCCCACACTCAGCAGTTCGAAACACCTTGCTCCGTGTGTGTTCCAGGGTTTGCCTCACAAGCGGCAGGGATTTGGCTTTCAGCATTGTCCCCTAATTATAGTAATTGTCTAAGTGGAGCTCTCCATGTCTCCCACTGTTCTGGGCCCAGAGTGCAGCAGGGGAGCAGCCTGGCACAGCTCATCCACAGCTCATCACCCAGCCAGCCTGGCCACATCCAGGGGGGACACACAGGCAGAGGGGAAAAAAGCTTGGCTTCATAAAACACACCCTAGAAAACCCAACAAGAAAATATTTTGATTTTATGAAGCAACTCCAAGGGGCTGTCGATGAAATCGGATCTGGTAGGTTCCAAAGTGCAGCTGGCAGAGCAGTGCATTACCTTTCAGAGCAATGCTTATTTGATTTTTTCAGGTGGAGGGATTTGTACCATTTTGAATTTTTGATGATGCTAAATGGCACTGCCGTCAGAGGGTCCTCCCGGGGCTGGGCTGCTCTGGCAGGGCAGGAGCATTTTCTGCACACACACAGCCCTTGGTGAGTGCTGCCAGCCCTCTGAGTGCTGCCTGACTGGGGGCTGTGATCTCCAAGCAGGGCTTTGTATCTGCTTCTAGTCACTTGAATGAGGAGCAGAGGGATTGCTCAAAGAAATCTGGTAGTACTCATTTCAGGTTTTTTTGGTGCCTATGTTTTTTTTTAACTTCCCCCCCCCCCCCGTTTTTTTCAAAGCTAGCTTTGTGTATAAACATTAGATCTCCGATTTCCTTTTTTCGCAAAGTTTAGGTCCAATATAAGCAGCTGAAACTGCTTTGGAATAATACCTTTTTTTAATTGCATTTTAAAAAAAAATATTTTAACTTTTAGCTGCTTAGGTATTTGGGGCTGCACCTTATTACTGAACTATAAATGGAAAGAGATGCCATGCACCCAAGTAGTCTGTGCAGCTGAAGCTCCATCACAGTATTTGCCCTTGTACCCAATTTTATTTATTTTCTGAGAAGATGATTGCTTTTCTTTAGCCACCAGATCTGTTTTGTTCCCTCCAGGATAGGGATTCCTCCCTTATGCAATAGCAATATCCTGCTTTAACAGGTAACAGCTTGTTGTCTGGAGTGCTTGAGGCGCTGAGTGGCTGCTCCAAGTCCCTCTCTGATCTTCCTGGAGTGATGTGTTCCCAAGAACTGCATCCCAGTCTGCAGCCAGGGAGACTGTTAAAGCACCTCTCTGTGCTTTGTTTGGAGTTTGAAGGACTGGTTTTCTGCTAACATTGAATAATCTGGAGTAAGAACTGGCAGGCAGTTTTTTAAGCATATGTAAGTAAACTGCTTATTGCTTTTGCATAGCCAAAAAGTTTAGGAAAATGGAACTTCAGTGCAACAGCTGGTGTCGAGAGGATTAGCCTCCTAAGTATGATTTATCTCCTTTGCTTTTTAAAATTAGGAAATCCTGTCTATGAACACAGAAGGTGTTCACCATTTCAGATTGCATGACTTTTGTTCCCCCTGAAGAAATGACTGTACTTGAATAAGGGAGTAGAAATTACTGTGCTTGGATAAAAAAAAGGAGATTTGGGTGGTTGGTTTCTCTAAGGGTCCTTTTTCCTCCTCTGTATATGATGCAATGGTTTTCCCACTGGCTGAGAAAATGGGATGCATTCATCTCACCTGCAGGAGGTCAGTGAATTAGGAGTGTCAGGGCCTGCTGAAGATGGGAAAGTGGATCTCCATGGCACTGTGGGCATCGCTAACAAACCACACACAGTGGAGAAAGCTTGGCTGCTGAAATGGGGTTGTGGTTGCCCTCCCAGCCTGACTTCACAGTGTGGCCTCCCCTCAGGCTCAGTTTTTCACAGCAAGCTCATTTTTCCTCAGATGATGCACAGAAAACCACTTAAAGGTCAGTGTCTAAGGAGACATATTAACCCATTAACAGCAACAGCAAAGTCAGAGAAAACTGAAGAACGACCATTTATTGATTTTGCTGACATAAATGTTATCCATTTGCTGTTCTGCATTAGGGGGAGAGAGATGCTCCTTCTGGTAGATGCTTGTCCTGGTTACATTCCCTGAGTGAATGAGCTGGGGCCCTACTGCTTTACATCAGAGCGCACAGATCCATTACGAGAAACCGGAGAAACCTTTCCAAGAAATGGTTTAAAAAACCCAGAAGTTGTTCATTCACGCAGTTACACTGATAAGAGAACAACAGTTAACTCTTTGGGAAGGCACAGACAGCTCCTTTTCTTCCAATATATATTTCTTCTGCAGCCTGTTTCCCACCCTCAGTGGCAAATCAGTGCTGCTGCTGCTGGCAGGCTGAACTCACACTGTTTGCTAGGGCTGCTCTCCTCAGGCTGTGCTGGGGGATACAAAACAAAAGTGGCTGAAATGGGCTAAAGTTTCTTGTTGCTTAAATGGATTGAGTAAGTTTCTGTACACTGTAATTTCCTTTTTTTTTTGATTTCTTCACTTTTCCCTTGCAGAAAATGGCTGTTCCACCTGTTTATGCTGATCTGGGCAAAGCTGCCAGAGATGTTTTCACCAAGGGATATGGTAAATAAAGCCAAAATGAGTTTGGTCCTTTGCTGTCTCCCTGATTCCAGGAAATGTTAGGCTTTTATTGCTTTCCCCTGAGAAGTATTCCAATAATTTCCATTAGAATCCACAGAGTTTCCTATCACAGCCTCACACTGCCTTTGCTGTCTGGACAGGGACGGTAACTCTCTTTTCTTTTGACGAAATTCTTCCTGTCCCCCATAGGGCTGTTGTCTGTTTTGAGAGAAAATCGTGTGTTGTATTTTGGCTGTTCCCTTGTATGGATAAGTAGGATCACTGATGTTTGATTATGAGCAGGATGCTGCTCACTATGAATAAATCCATTATTACCTAATTTGGTCCCACTTACATTGTTGAGGTCAGTAGGATTATGAGTCAAGTGCTATCTGAAGCGAGTACAAGCTGCTTCATAAAAACTCATGGTTTGAGAACCGTACCCTTGGGTTAACTCTTCAGCAGTTCACAGGGGGTTCGGAGGGGAGTTTTAAGAAATAAATGAGAAACTCTTTTCAAATCAACATATATATGACTCATATTTTTTACTCACCTTCTAGGTTTTGGGTTAATAAAGCTTGACTTGAAAACGAGATCTGAAAATGGACTGGTGAGTTTGGAAACAGACTGAAATCCTAAACATTGCAACGGTGTTGTGCTTACTGTATATTTCTTTTTAAAATAAATATGCATCCCTTACTCTGTCCCTTTACCATTTCTCACATGTAACTTTGCAAGTTACTTTGTATTTATCTGAACCAATATTTAACAATTTATAATGACTAATATATTCTACATGTATAATTATTTACCTGAGTGTATTAGTGGCAAATACATATTTTATATCTATTATCTTTTTTTTTTTCTTTCTAGGAATTTACAAGCTCAGGTTCAGCAAACTCAGAAACAAGCAAAGTTAGTGGTAGTTTGGAAACAAAATACAAATGGGTGGAATATGGATTGATGTTCACAGAAAAGTGGAACACTGACAACACACTAGGCACTGAGATCACTCTGGAAGATCAGGTAAGCTCTGGCTCCAAAAGTGCAGTTTGCAAATTCACTTACGCCAATCTCTGATTAGAAATCCAACCAGTGAATTTCTTTTCTGTTCAGCTTGCACGGGGCCTGAAGCTGACCTTTGACTCCACCTTCTCTCCTAACACTGGGTAAGAAGTGAGTAAGCTGAAGTGACAGAAAGGCATTTTTTAATTTCTCTGTCCTGGCATACTGAGACAGTTCATAATCAGCCTGTGTATAATGAAATGGTGCACATCTCTTAAATCTCAGCATTAATTACCCCCTTTTAATCCTCCCCTAGGGCAAGCAAACTTTTGCCTACAGTAACTTGAAATTTATAGTCAGAATTCGGGAGTGAAGGAAGGATTGTCCTTGTGCTCCAGTCGTGTATCTGTGGCCGTGTCAGGGGATGAGCTGCTGCCTGAATAAAAGCACCCACCAAGTCAGCTGTAATGCAGAGCTTAACAAGCTCTGGGAGCCAGTTGGCCACAGCTCTGACAGGGTGGCACAGCACTGGGCTCCTCTCCCGAGCTGAATTTATCCCGGGAATTCTTGCTGGGCCGTGGTGGTGGGTGGGTGTTCCTGGCACGGCGATTGGATGCCATGTTTTATGTGGGCCAGAGGGATTAAGCAGCAGCTGTAGGTCTACATGTTGGTTTATTTTTTTCCCCTGATTATCTTTGGTGCAAGCAGTGCTGCCACTGAGTCGAAATACTCTGCACATCAGCTTCCCAGAGCTGCACTCTGCACTCCAGTTATAGTCCCAGGGGGAATTCACCCTGTCCTTTAGATTTAGTGTCCTGCATTGTCACCTGCTTCCAGTCCACTCCTAATTCTAGATTAACGAGGTATTTTTGTTAACCTGAATAATCTTGTTTGTTTATAGTTACTTAGCTGTAGGATTCTTAAAGAAATAGGAAAAAAAAAAAACCAACCATTGATGTTACAGCTCTATAACTTCCTTGGGCACTTCACAGACACTGTAGTATCTGAGTTACAATTGCCTTAGAGGACTAAAATTTGAGTAAATGGAGTGAGATTGAGTCCTGGTGTGACCTGGTTTAGGTTGATAGGGATGCATCATGTCTGAATATGAGACCTCTTCTCCCCTTCCCATATTGCTCACTGACTGTGATGAGTCTTCCAACAGGGAAAGTCATTTTTAGGAGTGCTCCATGTTCTTGCCTCTATCCCTGCTGACACTGGTGGAAGAGGTACCAGAAGTTGCAGATGAGGGCGTTTGGCACTCCTGCACTCTAGTTCTGATTCTGCTGTGGTGTATATGTTGTCCTCAGAAACTGTTACCCTGAGTTAAAGCAAGTGATTTGAAAAATAAGAGATCCTCTCTCTTCTCTGCAGGAAAAAGAGCGCTAAAATAAAGTCAGGATACAAGAGGGACCACATCAACCTCGGCTGTGACATGGACTTCGATATCGCGGGGCCCTCGATACGCGGGGCCCTCGTGCTGGGCTACGAGGGGTGGCTGGCGGGCTACCAAATGACCTTTGAGACAGCCAAGTCCCGGGTAACCCAGAGCAACTTCGCTGTTGGCTATAAGACTGATGAGTTCCAGCTTCACACTAATGTGTAAGTACTGGCAGACAGGCATTAGGAAGGAATTTGGAGGGATTGTGCTGCTTCCCAGAACAGTGAAAGGGAGGGAGGTTCAGCAGTGGAGAACCTCCAGGGGATGGTGGAGCTGAGACTGGTTCGTCATTAAGGATGCCAAGCTGCATTTTTTTAGCTGCATTAACTTTTCTTTGAGTTGTGTGGGTGAGGGAGTGCATGATGTTGAGCACCCTAGAGTCCAGTGTCTGTCTGTCTAACAGATAAGGATTATTCGAACCTGTCAGCAGAATAATAAAACAAGTAGTTGAAAAAATACTCTTTGTGGAAGCTGAAACAAAAGTAATGCTTTCCTTTTGCACCTGTCAACATCAAAAAAAAAAAAAAAAGGTGGCTTGATCTGTAGCTGAAAGAGTTAATCACAGGATGAGCAAGGAGAAGGGAGTTACTGGAAGAGACAGGGACTGGGTTTGTTTTAGTACCGGAAGCAATATGGTGAAAAAGTTTTTTTGGTATTATTTGGTAACAATCTATTTACTGAGGCATTTGTGCTTTTGGAATGTATCAACAGTGGGAAACCAGAACCAAATTCCATGAAAACCTTAATTTCTCTGTCTCCTCTTAAGAAAGCAATTTATGACTTTGGGGAAGACAGTTTTTTAAGATTAGGCAATCCCTAATCCATTCCCCCAGCCCCCGCCTTTCCGTGCCCTTGGGTAATTGGATATTTTGCATGTAGCAGAGCTATTCCAGGCTGTTTCCATCTGGGGGCTGAACAACTGTTCTGCCTTCCTGAAGCTGCCTCTTCAAAGGCCTCGTGTTGTGTCTCCTGCTGGTTTGCAGAGCTGTGGCTGAGGAAGCTCCCGCTGCCTCTCAGAACGCTCGAACCCCCCCAGCCCAGACTGCGTGTTTGAAGGGTTGCCAGAGCACAGAAATGGGAGGTGGGCACAGAACTTCCATCAGAACGATCCGTGGGGTCCCCTTCACTCAGGAGTCAGGAGTTGTTCCTTCAAGCACAACGACTCTCGACTCTGTTATGCTGTAGCAGTTCAAAACATTGTATTATTGGCTTTTGTTATAAAATGCTGTGATTATTATTAAAATTAATTAGAGCAACAGCAGAAAATCACTTTATAACAGCAGCAGGAGCTCAGATCTGACTGCTGCTTGGATTCCTGAGGGTCTGTTTCTCAGGTTGCTGTTACTGTACAAAACCACAGATGTGTGATACGAGTAGAAATCCTATTTATTGTTAATAATAGGTTAGTTAGGTGTTTGATGTGTTTCAGCTTTGAAATGTGTCGGAGCTTTTATATAATCCCAGCAAGAGCTGTGTGTGGGACTCCCCTCAGTACCCTGCTCGGTTGTTATATCTGCACAGGTCAGTGTTTCACAGGGATGCTGTGGCAGAGCTGATAATTTAACAAGGTGGGGCTTGAAGCATTGTTTATTGTTCCTGCCATTACACAGACCAGCTGGGGACTTTAGCAGGTTACTTTCCTTAAGGGTGCCTTAATATAGTAATTTTCATAGGGGGCTAATGTGTTGGTTATTTTTTTTAAATCTGCATCTCAAATGTGCTATTATTACTATCAGTGTTAAAAGGAGGTTTGACTTTATGAATAATAATAACTAAAAGGAGGTAGGGCTGGATAATTTCTAGTTTTAAATGACTTTCCTCATTTTTTAAGCATAGCTCAGACCGCCCCCCCCTAATGTTGCAGGTCAAGACAGAGCTGTGTGGGAACCTTGCACAAAATCTGCCTGTATAACCAGCTCTCCTCAGTCCTTTTTAATCCCTCCTTTTCTTGAGAGCCAAGCACATGCAGTTAATGTGAGCTTCAGTCTTATCTGAAGTAAGTATTGTAGTGTTTTTCTGGAAGAATTGCTCTAACAAAAGGCTGCTGCTATTGCTTGAACTTTTAAATAGGTGTATCATGACTGTTTGGGCAACTTACACAAGCTAAGGAATATCAGGCCAAAGGGGCAAAAGGGAAAAGATTTTAAATCTACCCCATTTTTAATCCCTAAAGGTCTGGTATACTGTAATAGTCGGAACCAGGCTATTTCACAGTTAGAAATAATCATAGTTGTTTTATTTGCAGAGGTCTTCCTGGGGTTTAAAGCCCGTTCTCTGCAATATGTTTGTATCTTCTCTTCAGAAAACGAGTGAGAATGGAAATTCAGATGCTCATGGTTTACAAGGAGTGCAAGGCCTTTAGGAGCCTTTTGCTCTTGTTTTTATGCTCTGCATGCTCTAACGTTTTGCCTTTTATTTACCACAGTGGCACTAGTAATTGGAAGTTATGCTGCTAATCATTCAGCTCTGGGCCAGTGCTCTCTGCAAAGCAAAATTAGTTCCATTTCCATTTCTAGTCCAGGGACTATAGCACAGATGCACCATCAGGAACGTTGCAAATGGAATTCATTTGCAAGAGCCAGCAGAGTCGGACGTTAAATTGGCATCTTCGCTTCTGATCCAGTTCCTCTGTGTCTGGTCAGAGTGCTGACACGGCAGTTTGGAGATGACTCGGGCTCTGTGACTCCCTCTCAGGACACGAGGGAGACGTTCACAGGGAAAGTAATTATTTCAGACACACGCAGGGAAAAATAAATCTCTTTACTACAAAGACTCCCATCTACAGGGAAGGGAAAATTGGAAGCTGTCATCATTGGTTTAATTTTTGATAGTTTGTCCTGGTTTGGTTTTTTTTTCAGAAGTTGCTGAAATGTAGTAATCTTCACCGAATTTAAGCATCTAAAAATAACTTCATAACCAATCTGGCCTAATGTCTCTATCTTAGCTGCTGTGGGGACATTTAATGAGGTGGAAGGGGATGTTGTGCAAATAGATCTTACTGGAAAAATAAAAGATGATTGTTTTGCGTTGCTGTTCAAAACTACACCAACCATTCCTTCCAGGAACGACGGAACGGAGTTCGGCGGCTCCATTTACCAGAAGGTGAATGATAAACTGGAAACAGCCGTGAATCTCGCCTGGACAGCTGGAAATAGCAACACTCGCTTTGGAATAGCAGCCAAGTATCAGATTGACCCAGATGCCTCTTTTTCCGTGAGTCCTGTGCATGCACATTGAGAAGCGTTTGGAAGTAAGTGCCGGTGATGGAAATGGAAAGCAGCCTTTCCATCAGCAAGGCACGGTGGGGATGCAGTTCTGTGCCGTGGAGTTGGCACCTGGGTCTGTTTGCCTTGGGTTTGGCAGCCTCAGAGCACAGCTATTGGATTTTCCTTAAAGACACACAGAGTGTTTTATCGTGTTACTGGGCACTATTTTGAGAATGTTTTCTTGTCAGTCTGGAAAAAATTAAAAGCTGTGCCAATAAAACCAGTGTGTTCTGCAGGGACTGTCGAGACTTTGAGATTGGGGGTTTAAGTTATGGCAAAATTATCTCTAGATTTTTGGTGATTTAAAACTTGAAATCCTTTACCTGCTTAAAAGCTGTTGCTTAATTTTCAAGTGTGAAGGACTTTGAAGAAAGATACTAAATTATTTTCTAAAGTTATTACTTACTACTAAATAATGCTGTATTTTTTTTTTTTCCCCTTGAAGGCTAAAGTGAACAACTCCAGTCTGATCGGGTTAGGATACACTCAGACTTTAAAGCCAGGTAGGTCTGGGCAGAAAAAAAATCAGAATCAATAAAAAGATATTTTAATCTTGAAATCCCAGAAGTTTTTTTGGTGACAAAATATGATGGGTTTTATAAGATTGCTGGTGTGCTTGGCAAGCCACTGATGAACCTTTCTAGGGACTGCTCTAGTAATTCTGGATGCCTGTGGGAAGCAGAATTATTGGAGACCATGGTCCACTGCCCAGCCAGATACTCTTTTTATGTTGATACAAAATATATCCATAATTAGTTGTGTCACAGATAAGTAAACACATTTTTAATACTTTCAGAGGCTTCTTATTACTGAGTTTATTTGGCTTGAAAATGTGACTTTCTCAAGGTCCCCTGGCCCAGGAAGAGGACGATCTTACTGCTGTGAAATTGGTTTTAATGTAGGCTAATAAATCTGCTGCCAGAATACTGAGCAGATTGACATGAGATATTACAGCAGACAGGGCTTGGGCTTTTTCATACCTAGATTTTAAAGTGGTTCAGAAAGGTGGGTATGTATCAAGGTCCCAATTTTTCATAATACTAGACTCTGAAATTAGATTAATCAGTAGACCTGCAGCAGTGAATTGACTCAGAGCTTTAATTACCCGGAGTGATAAAAAGCAGAATCCATCATCGTGGTTTATTATAAATTTCATAACTCAGAAAGATTTCTTATCTGCAAGTTGCTGTAAAATGCCCAGTCCTTACAAGGCCAGCTGCCAAGTCCCGTTATCCTGGCTCCCCAGTAAATTAAAGCAGTGGCACAGACACTGAACAAAAAGCTCATTCCAAGTTTTAAGTGGAGTTTTCTCTCACTTTTCTCTGTTTTGCAGGTATCAAACTGACATTGTCAGCTTTGCTGGATGGCAAGAACGTCAACGCGGGTGGTCACAAACTTGGTCTAGGACTGGAATTCGAAGCATAAGGAGTGATTTCCCAATTGCTAATCTGAAAACACAGCATAGCTACCTTCAGAATATAGTGTACCTTTCAATGTTTTGTCTGGGGTGCGAGTATTGCTACGTATCAGTCCTGCTAGTCCTGGTTAAAGACAGCTAAGCTTTAAAAATGATGTTGTTAAAGAAGCGGAGACAAAAGCATAAAAAAAAAAAAAAATCCTAATGCCAGGCTTTTTTTCTTCATGTAATTGCTCATCACATCTGTCAACTGCCACGTGCTAGGAAGGAGGAAGGCGCTGATTACCTCTGCTAACGTGTTGATGGCACAAGGGACGTGTTGATGTGGTCTCAGACCTGAGGATTTCGGTGCAGACCCTACACTCCATTGTACTGTTAATTCCGTGAGCAAAACCTTCCGACACTCGGGGTTTCGGCTGACGAGGGAATGTGCAAACTTGTCTGAAAAAGGGATTTTAAAATATTCTTTTTTTTTTTTTTTTTTTTTTTTTTTAGCTCTGTATTCCATGAATGGTTTGTTTGTCTTCTTTGGTTATCCCCACCCCTCCAGCTGTCTCCAGAATGCTTGAGGTTGTCCACCTTGTCCAAGTGCGTCTCGGAGGAGGTTTGATGTGACTCAGCCAATACTGCCTGTCCTGTGTTGTGGTTCCTTCCCCTTGCACTGACCGGAAAGCTTGTAAAAACAGACAGAATCAGGGAAGAGTCTTTGCAACTGCAATCACACGGTTGCATCGCTGAATCTAAAACGGGAAGTTTTGTTTTATTACCACTTTTTTTTAGCAACTAAATGGGTACATTTTTAGAGAGTCTTCCATTTTGTGTGGAACTAGACCCCAAAATGCTGTACTTGACACTACTAAAAATGGATAAAAAAACCCAAACCCGACTTGAATAAAATATTGAAATGTCACTTTTTACTTTGTCTTTATATTAATTGTGAAAACAGGTTCATCTAAATCTGTGCTCCAGAAGCAGACTGGCAACGTCTCGGTGCGTATTTTGTACCACACACAGCAAAAATACTTAGAAGATTTAAGTTCCAGACACGGCCCTGTTCTTACTGCTCACTAAGCTCTGGCAACTACACATATGCATGGATAAAACGAGGTAACATGACTGACCTTCCATTACAGAATCCAGTAAGTTGAATTACCTTCCTATAAACAAGTAAGCGTGAGCAATGAACATTTATCAGTTCAGGGATCAACTTCCGTGGCTTTTCAGTAATATTTTGTGTTTTTTCATGGGTAAGCCGTTGCTGCGGGTGTCTGCAGATGGCAAGAGCTGCAGCACAGGAGGATGTGCCTGGTGAGGCAATGGCATTGCGACAGTGTGAGGCTGCAGAGCCACAAACTGGGCAACACTGCCTGTCTTCCCTTTTACCACAAGCCGTTCCCGAGCATTTCCTATCTCACATGCTTTTCCCAGCACTCCTGGGAGAAGTGGTCCTCTTCCAGACGTCACCCATCAAAATGAACCACGTGCAAACAGCTCACCATGGCAAACAGCTCAATAATTATTTACATTCCTGCGTGCTGGGCACATCCCGTGTTCTCTCAGCATCACCGTAAGCCTTTGGGCTCCTTTGTCTTGATTTTCTCATGCTTGAGGCAACTGCTTTGGTATTTTTTTTTCTCCTGTGACCAGCTTCGAGCCTTCTCTCAGGGCGTGGAATACCCGACCCAGGGTGAGAACAGGAAAGCTTTATTTTTTTATAGCTCTATCCAATTGTGCAAAAAGCATCCCACGAGCGCCATAGCACAAAGCCTGGACAGGAGGCTGGTGGGCACTTCCCTGGGTGTGTGTGGGGGTGTCCAACCCCTCAGGTCAACCTCCATCGGAAGGAAGGCGAAGGAAATTCCCCGTTTTCTGTCGTGGATTTGTTTTACTCGCAGCCTGGAGGGCCCAGGCAGCTCCAACACTGCCCGCAGGGTCCCTCTGGGTGACCACCTACCCGGAGGGTGAGGGAGTGGGACAGGCCTGTGCTGCAGCGAGAGCACCAGAGGGAATGACCTTAAACTGAGACAGAGTCAGATTAAATATTAGAACGTTTTCCCTGTTGGGGGGGTCAGATGTTGAAGGGGCGGCCCAGGGAGGCGGTGGGGTCACCATTCCCTGGAGGTGTTTGAGATGTGGCGCTGGGCGATGCGGTTCAGTGGTTTACGACTGACAGTGGCGGTGCCGGGTGGATGGTTGGACTGGACGATCTCAACGGTGCCTCCCACCGTCTGTGACCCCGCCATTCCCTGACCCCGCCATTCCGTGTCCCCATCATTCCCTGATCCCGCCATTCCCTGACCCCGCCATTCCGCCACTCCCTCCCTGCTCCCCTCACACCCCCCCCCATCCCCGTGCGCATGCGCGGCCGCCTCCCCGTGGGCGGTGTCTCCGCCACGTCCGCGGAGCGGCCCAAGATGGCGGCGGGCGGCGAGCGGCGGGAGCGGGCGGGCCGCGCCCTGGGGCTGGCGCTGCTGCTCGGCTGGGCCCTGGCGGCCCGCGGGCAGGACTCTCGCGGTGAGCGCCGGGGGATGGCTGGGGGGCTTTGGGGCTGTGGGAGTGCCCTGCCCGGCTCTCACCGGGCTCTCCGGTGGGGCCTCGGCCTGCGCGGGTCGTGCCGTGGGGACCCAGCCCCGGGGCCGGCCTCGGTCGGGGCAGCGGGCGCTGAGGGTGCGCTGGGGACGGGCATGGCCCGGGCGGGGATCGGGAGGCCCAGCCGGGTGTGCTCCGGTCCTGGAGCGGCGAGAGCGGTTTGGGGGGTTGGAGCAGTGGTGACTTCACTCCTCAGACTTTGTACTTCGCTGTAAATACTCTAGTTCTGGGTCTGGGTTTAGCCTCCCTCGTCCCGAGAAATTAAGCTTATGTGACTTTGGAAGTCGGCTCCAAGTTCAGTCTGTTTCCTTCCTTCCCCTCCAGACCAGCTGTACCCCAAGGCTGACAAGAAATGCACATTTCACGTGCAGTGGGTTTCTCTTTGTTTTAGGTGGAGTATTGGCTGGGCAGTGAGGGGAAAGGAATTACTGAAGGAAATGGAGGGATTTGTTTGAGCCCTCAGTTCCCTCTGTGCCTCTCAGTGGGGATATCCACGCCAGCTCTATCTGTGCTGCCCCTCACCTGGTCTGACGGGTGGGCAGGGAGAATTTGGGACAGAAACCTGTAGGAAAAGGAGAATTTTCAACTTCAGAAACCTAGAAATAACTTGCTTTCTAAAAGCAGTTCTGCTGGAAGGGCATTTTAACCGTCCTATGTTTTTTTATGTGTGGTGTTTGCTAAGAGGGCTGTGTTGCTAATTCCGGCACCAGGGTTGAACATTAATATCTGTTGCTGAAGATGAGGCGTCCCTGGAGTCCAGGCACTGCTGCAACATCACCTGACAGTGTTGTGTAACTGCAAACAGTGCAGCCACCGTTTATAATGCCAAATACTTTTGGGTAGATATCAGAAATCAGCTGTGGTTGAGTTGCTAAACTTCCTGCTGCAATTAAACTCTCCCCCTGTTTTAGGAACAATAAGAAAGTATTTTTTCCCAGTCTGAAGCCTCAGCATTAGCTGGTGGGGGTCCCTTGCATTGAGGCATATATCCTTCTAAAACTTTATTGTCAGAAGGAGTGTAAGAATAATTGGAAGTGTAAGCAGCATAATTTTATAGAAAAAGTATGCCTGCTTGTATTTCAAACAGTTTAGCTGTTATTATTTAGCTCTCTAATACTTTTTGTCTGTCTGAGGGTAGCAGTGAGGTTGACCTGCCTCCCTCACAACATGCCAACTAGCTATAAATAAAAATTAATATAACTCTTGCAGCTGCCTCTCCTCATATTTATCTCCATGCATGCACTTAGCTGACCTGACTCCTGAGGGGAGACCAGAATTCCCTAAACTTGTCCTGTGCCAGATCTGAACAAGTTAGTGTTAATGCAATTCAGAGCAGTAGTTGATCTCAACAAAAACCAGAAGTGTGTTAAATGTAGAGCAGCGGCCTTTGCACCTCAGCAGATGTCCAGCTCACGTGAGATGAGTTGGGCCTGCTGTGGTTTAGTTGGTTAAAGAGTAATTCCCACTGCAAAGGTGTGCCCTGTAAACAAGAGCCCTGTTGTAACTGATCCTCGGTAAATACACATTTCATGAATAACATGATTCAGTGTCCCCCCTGGAATATTTTACTTGGGAGTAACCCGACCCAAGCAGTTGGTTGAATGCTTCATTTTTAGAGGCCCTCGCTTCCCAGTGGGCCTTGGGAGTGCTTAATGGAAGTATTGTTACTTTTTTTTTAAAATGAAGAAATAGTTTGGCATGCCAAGGTACAGGGCAGGGGTGGTTCCCCTGTGTCAGTGATGTCTGAAATGTGGGATGCATTTTTCAAGGTGCCTCTGGAAGTGACGTGCTGCAAACATGAACAGTTGGCTACTTTTTAGGTTTAAAAAAAAACACTGGCTCTTTATAAACTCCCCCTGCATGTGTTTTTACCTTCCTTTGGAGAGAGAAGAGGGAGGGTGGGCTCTGCATGTGGTTTTAATGCTCACCTTGTTTCTTAGGGAGTTCTGCAAAGCTGTCCCAGCATTGGAGAGATGCTGAATTTGCCTGAGGGTGGTTGTTACTCTTGCTGACTTATTTCATGAGAATAATTTGCTGCCAACAAAAGCCTTTGCTCCAGGAGCATGGGCAGTCAGTCCCTTCTCTGGCTTTGTTTTTAACCTATGGTCCAGTGGTTCCATTTCAGTTAACAAAAGGTTGCAAATCTTTCTCAGTAGCTGTAAATTCAATAAAAATTAGTGCCTGGGAAGAGGTGCTGTGACCCTGTGTCGTGACTGAAGGAGGCTTCCCAGCATGTTCTCATTTTTGTTGGTAAAATATGCACTGGTGAAAGATTAAAAACTTTTAACTGCAGGAAAAGCTTTGCTGAGAAAATCTTCCTCTGTAGAGCTCAGCTTATTCTGTGGGAGAGGGAGTTTGATGATGGAGTAAATACTAATTGTGTGTGACTTTACAAGACATCATAAATCCTCAGAGGGAGGGATGACATGTCTTTGAAGTTCTTATGCCTGGAAAACATGCATGCTGAATTTTTTAGGGACGCTTTGGCACGCTGATCTAGAAAGCATGTGCTTCCAAGCTTTAACTCCTGTCCTGCTCCAGACTTAGGAAGCTGCCAAAGTACAGGAAATGTATTTCTGCGTATGACTGTTAAAAAGGCTGCAATGTGACATGTGATTTCTTGTCTGTAAAGGAAATCTGTGGCACTGGTGTCCCATTACAGCTGAGGTGTGACAGAAGTTACTGCCTGGTGCTTCATACTGACTGTTTCTCATCCTTTTCTCAGATCCTGTGAACACGGAGATGCCTATGAAAAATATTTCTTCTAAAAGTGAGAATGAAACACTGAGTAGATCCCAAAATTTGACAGACAGCTTGCAGAGCCTAACCTCAACAAAAAAGGCAATCCCAACAACAGCCAAAATCAATTCAGTGACTGCAGGAAGGGCACCTACAGCAAAAGGTGACTCTTTCTCATCTGTTCTCCCTGCCAGTCCGGTATCTCCAATTGATGCTTCTGAAGATACTAAAATTGAGGAAGAGGATCTTCTAACAGATTTGAAAGATACACTAAATAGTTCCCCACCCATCATAAAAGAAACTCTGGAGTCAGATGGAGATGATTATGGCCCTTATGAAATGACACCGATTTCCAGGTACAGCCCAGACCTGGAGATGCCGGAAGACGACGACTCTGACACCATCAGTAATTACAACGAGGAGATCAAGACCCTGGATGAGAAGATAAAAGGTGTTTCTGTCTCAGAGTTGGAAGAAGAAGAAGAAGACAGCCATTTCTTTTTTCATCTGGTTGTAGTTGCCTTCCTAGTGGCTGTTGTTTATGTCACCTATCACAATAAGAGGAAGGTAGGTGTGCTCTGAAAGGTTC